CAGTCGGTCCCAGCTGTGGATGGGAGACCCAGAAGCGGTGATGGGTCCCCCAGCAGGGGGCGCTCTTTGGACGTTAGTCTGATTTCAATGCCCCACTGAGGTGCGGAGCAGCATGGGGTGGGGGCTCTGCTCTCCCCTCCAGTGCAGCTGGGAGCCCAGCCCAGCACTAGGGGTGTCCTTCAGGGAGTGGAGTGGTCGATCCTGCAGGGGGCGCTCTGCACCTGCACAATCCGACTTGCTGGGTGGGTGTCCCTGGGCCAAGCTTTTCCAGGACTGGCGGAGTAAAGGCTGTAGCAAGTCAGGGTTGATAAACTTAACTTCCAGGGCTGGATAAAAGGGGTGGGTGCATGTCAGGAGAAGGCTGGGCCGGGACTGCACGGAGGTGGATTCCTGCAGATCCCTGGTGTAACTAACTCACTGCTGTTACAAGGGAGAGCCGGGGACCCCTGAGTTGGTCTGGTGAATTCTTACGCTAGTTTGCCTGCCTCAGAGCTAATGTTCCATCCACCTCCTCCCCACCCCCACCCGCCAATCAATCTTCCTCCCCCTTTTTTTCCTGCAGGCATCAGGATTTATTGGCTACTGCCCATTGCCTTGTTTCACAGGTCAAAGGTCGCTCGCTCAGCCAGACCCTGGAGCTAAATCATATGAAGATGCAAGTGACCTTTACCTGGAATGAAGAGTGGCCGGTTGTGGAAATTATGGGACAGGAAAGAGTGTGAACGTCCCCTAATGGTTTCAACGCTCGCGTGTATCAGGTTTCTCTTGCTGATTAAGACAAAGGCCTCCCCAACGTAATAATATTCCTCTTTTAAATACTTTACAAACCGGGAGCTTGCGAGTCCTCTGAAGGCAGCATGGGTCTCACAGTGGAGGGTTTGTTGCCGTAGCTAGATCCAGCACCTACAGAAATGCAGCCACGTGCGGGGTGCAGGATAAGAGCCAATGTGGCTCACAGCACAATGGTAATGGCAGGAGGTGGACATTTTGCCCGGGGCCTTAAGGCAAATGGAACCTGCCGAGGTCTGACAGTGTCATGCACAACGCCGGGACCTTTAGAGCGTGCGAGGCTTTCAGCTGAGACGCTAAGCGTGCGGCCCTGTCTGCCGTGCATGGACATTGCAGAACCGACGGGGCTCTGTGGAAGATTTGTCCTGGTGCCTTTGGTTCAAGCCTCCCTTCCCTTTGCTGTCAGGGAGCGTGTTTCATTCGGGGGGCGGGGGGCTGCATTTCAGTGGTGCTGTGCGGCTATATTGCATGCGAAGGGATCCTTCAGGAAGAGGAGGGCTCCCTACGAATGGGAGCTGCAGAGCTGAGAGCCGGGAAAACGGAGCGTGTGGGCGGTGAAGTGACATGCCCAAGGAGACACAGCAAAGGCAGTGGCACAGCTGCGAATAGAACCCAGGAGTCCTGGCTCCCGATCTTGTGCCTTAGTGCATGGTGCCCCCTCTGAGAAGAAGGCAGGGCCTCAAAAACAGCCCCGGAAATAGCTGGCACTGCTCCAAAGGGGGAATCACAGCCGGTTCAAAATTCAAACTCTGTCCCAGGGAATCCCTGTGGCCTGAGCCCCCGGCCCTGGCTGAGCTCCCATTCGAGGTATGGACAGCTCCCCCCAGCAGGACGTGCCAGTGACAGGGAGGGGAGAATATTAAATGCTTTTCTCTCCCATGCTGTCTTCACCTCCTTTACTCGCTGACCCAGGCTGGGTGGAACTGGCTGCAAAGTACCAGGGGACTGAACTTCCAGGGGTGGGTCAGGGGCCTCCTGCAGTGGGACGACACCAGGACTCCTGGGTTCTATCCCCAGCTCTGTCCCTGACTCACTGCCTGATGCACCGCAGGGGGTGGGGTAAACTCTTGCCACAGGAATAAACCAAACTGCCTCTAGAGCTTGGCGGATGCTGCCCCCGATTTGCCCAGCTGCTGGATACTGGAGGGTGAACTCCGGCCCTCAGCCCCACCCTGTCCCTATCGCTCTGGGGATGGCAGCAAGGGGCCGAGTGCAGCATTCGTGCTCCTCGGGGGGCTGGAATCCTCCTCTGCTTCTGGACAGCTGCCGCGCCCGCCGATAGGATTCTACCCTGAGCACAGATGGGCCAGAGCGGCCTCAGGTTGCCCCGCTCAAGACTCTCTGCCAGCTGGATCTCCTGCCCTACAGCCCCCCTTTGGGAGCCGACCCTTCTCCCACACCCCCCATCACCCCTCCG